TGACTACCGCTGTCTTAACAATATTCATATACCTACATCCACATAGCTACAGCATAATACACTAGTTAATTTTTTAACTTTTTAATAATCATCAAAAACCATTAAAAATGGCACAATTGACATTTTAAACGTTTAACAGTTAAGTTATGATGCATCAGAAGAGCAAAATAATTTGGTTATAACAAGCAACAAACAAACATAAAACTATACATTAAAATAAAAAACAAACTTTGCTCTTCAGTATAATTCCATTTTTAGTGAAAAACATGCATAGATGTTGATTCAACAGGACTTTGTATATGTGTCACATGTAATTACATTTTATTCAAACTTACAACTGTATAAAAACAATTATACAATAACATTAAGATACGATTGTTTGTTTGTTTTGAATTTCGCGCAAAGCTACACGAGGGCTAGCTGTCCATAATTTAGCAGTGTAAGACTAGAGGGAAGGCAGCTAGTCATCACCACCTACCGCCAACTCTTGGGCTACTCTTTTACCAACGAACAGTGGGATTGACCGTCACGTTATAACGCCCCCACGGCTGAAAGGGCGAGCATGTTTGGTGTGATGGGGATTCGAACCCGCTACCCTCAGATTGCGAGTCGATCGTCCTAACCACCTGGCCATGCCGAGCCCATTAAGATACACTTGTAAGCCTGCAACATCACATTTATAAGGTGACTGATATCAATAAAACATTTAAAATTATCATTTCACATTATTATCATTATACTAATTTGCACTGAAACTAACATATAACAAAATATTGTAAGGTTAATGAAAAAATTATATGCCATTTACCTTCATTCATTGGGGCAAAAGTTAGATCATGATCCAGAAGTTGTCCCCTCTGTATTGCCATGAGGTGCACTTACATCATAATATACTGCGGTGTAGATTACTCTGGATGAGAAAAATGGTACTCCATGAAGGCCAAATTTTCTTGGCTCACTCATGTCTCAGAAGTATGGAGAGAAAAAGTATTCAATACTTAAGTTATGACTTATAACTTGGTTCAATTTTTTAAATAGTTAATATATGTTCCAGTCAAATCAAAATATGCTATGTATTCTAAAAGTTCTGAAAAAAAGCTTCATGGTTAATCTGTTTTTTACTTCATTCTGCATTACTAGATATGGTAGATTTCAAATAATACTGCCATTCAAAATTGGTTAGCCTAATTTTTAATACAAGTTAATTTGTGTTCAAATTTAGTTCTATATTTTTGTTAGTTATTTCAAAACTAGTTCATTACAGCTTGTGAGCAGAAGTACAAGTTACAGCAGCATTATCAGATAGTTCAGCATGTATTGACACATGTATGCAATCAGTTAAATACTGCAAGTGTTGACAACAGACATCTAACAATTGGTACAACATAGACATTCAAAACCATATGGGGATGACCAAAAGCAAAGATGTTATCAAAATAGTCACTTGGTTTGAATCAAACAGTTTTGTGACCTAAATAGCTGTACAAATTATCAAGCACTAACTACAACTAACTCAGAAGACAAAGAAAAATGTAGCTCAAGCACAGCAATATACACCAATCACCATAATATACAATGTAAATATAGAACGCAGTAAAAGAAAAGTATGTCCAATATTTGATTAAGTAGTTAAAAAAATACACACAAATTTACACTGATAAATATGAATATTAAATTCAAAAGTTTAATCACACAGAACTGGAAAAACGATCCTTTAACACCATATATGTTTTGCTATATTAAACAACAACAGCTTAATTGGTACTGTTATGTATCTGCTTGTTTGTTTGTTTCCCGTAGAAATTCTTTCCGAGGATCTTCAGTGATACAAGTCCTTTCTTGATTAAACCAGTTTATTGTTCCTCGATGCAAACTTTTAGTACACAGCAATTCCACAGTCTTTACGTTTCTCGTCACTTTAAACTTACAACTTTTATAATACACACTATAAATGACAGCGATTCAGAATCTCGATAACTTCACTCTCAACGAGTGCAAAACATGCACTTCACTAGCTCGAAACTAAAAGAATCATAAATTATACAGAACACAAAGTAACTACTGCTCTCTCTCCATTTATATAGTCCCCCGCTGGCTTTCCTCTGTAACACATTCAGACTTCCCCGATCATTCGCGAAACTCATCACGCGCCACTAGCACCAACACGCCAGCAGCGCCACGTGACTTTCGCTGTCGTAACACTGCCCCTTCCATAATATTGTTCGTCCCGAATAATAGCCACTTACATTAAACCAATAGATAATTAACAATAACTTAGTTAAATGTACAGAATTTACAAACACAAAATTAAAATACAACAAAGTCACTTAATTTTACAGGACGTTTCTTCTTACATACTGGTCTCCATCTCATTGGCTTCTGCTTCAAGTGTGGTTCATCTGCTTCGTAAGGAAATGTCCCATTATCGGTAATAGTCATATTAGTGGTAGTAACTTCATTAACGGCTTCACTGTTTTCCCTCTCAAAACCGGGTAGAATTTTTTCTTCAACAGTGGCTTTTTCAGGTGACACGTCTTCAGCAGCATCATTTGTTCTGTTGTTCATTTTGTTCCAACTGAAATGTCCTGGACCATGATAACGCCAAAGCTTGTTGGCATGTACCACCTTCGGCTTACCTCGCCGACCATATTTTATTCGGAAAGACACGTCTGAGAGACGATCCACTATGTCATATGGATCTTCCCATGGAGAAGACAACTTAGGAGACTTCCCTATGGTCTTCTTGGGATTATACAGCCACACCTTGTCTCTTGGTACAAAGGTGACTTCAGTAGATTTCTTATCATAACATAGCTTCATGGAATCAGCAGACGTTTTTAAGCTTCAACGAACTTGATGATGAATATCATCCATCCTTTCAGATAACACTTTTCATGAACTCTGACACATTTTCAGGCAACTCTTCATAAGGTGGGTGTCCTGTTATCAGGTCCACTGGCAACCAAAGTTCCAGACCAAACATCAGCTTTGCTGGAGTGTATCCAGTGGCTTCATGCTCTGCTGTCCTATAGGCCATCAACAGTGGAGGGAGTAAGACACCCCAATCATCTTGGCGGCTATTACAAAACTTTGCCAATTCCTGTCCTAGTGTCCAGTTGTACTTTTCTACCATCACATCGGACTATGGGTGAAGTGGTG